GGTTTATCAAGTCCAAATAGTTTCTACTTCATGTCTCTTATTCTGGATTCACAATTTAGTAAAATGTATGAATATTATGAAATACTGATTGTCAACAGCCATTTTCCTTACAATGAAATCCTGTTTCCAAATCTTCTAATCTAACTTTTAGTATTAACAGTAAATCATTAATTTGGGTGGGTGTGTGCGCGCATGTACACACGTGTGAAGGCTATAAGTAAATCATTAATTTGGGTGTGTGTGTGCACGCATGTACACACGTGTGAAGGCTATAAGTAAATCATTAATTTGGGTGTGTGTGTGCATGTACACACGTGTGAAGGCTATAAGTAAATCATTAATTTGGGTGTGTGTGTGCGCGCATGTACACACGTGTGAAGGCTATAAGTAAATCATTAATTTGTGTGTGTGTGTGCATGTGTACACATGTGTGAAGGCTATAAGTAAATAATTAATTTGGGTGTGTGTGCGCTCGTCCACACGTGTGAAGGCTACAGATCGACGTTGGGATTCTTCCTCAATGGCTTTACATTTCGTTGTTTGGGTTTTAGACAGGGCCAGTCAAGTTAAACCTAGAACTTGACCCAATAGCCTTAACATATATGAATGCATGAAATCCCATGGGTAGTCCATGAGGGAGTGCAGACAGGGAGGGTGTCTAAATATAATTAAGATATGTTACATGAAATTCAATAAAAATGTACTTTAAAATGATAAATTAATATAAAATATTGAGGCTACAATCTACTGAGAACTGTTTATATACTGGGTATATTTAAATGCTATCTCTATCCTTAAATTAATCTGATAAGTTAGGTAATATTCACATTTTTAATTTTTTTTTTTTTTGGTCTTTTTGAGACAGGGTCTCCCTGTAGTCCCAGCTGTCCTGGAACTCACTATGTAGACCAGGCTGGCCTCAAACTCACAGAGATCTGCCTGCCTCTGCCTCCTGAGTGCTGGGATTAAAGGTGTGCGCCACCACGCCTGGCTAGATTTTAAAATATTTTAAAATTTATTTTATGTGTATGAGTGTTTTGTCGGCATATATGTAAGTGAACCACATGTAATGCAATGTCCATAGAAACCAGAAGAAGCACTGGATATCCTGGAACTGCAGTTATGGATGGTTGCTATTCGCCATGTGGGTGCTGAGAACCAAACTGGGTCCTCTGAAAGAGCAGCTAGTGCACTTCACCACTGATCCATTTCTTTAGGCCCTAATATTCATATTTCACACTGAAAAATGTTAAGTCCAGAAGCAAAATAGTTTCCTGGAGATATGCAATCAGTATTCATTGTTAATACTGTGATTTGAACATGGGTTAATATAAGATTTTCTACTTTCCCGATTTGGTTCAACCTGCCTAACAAAACTGGGCAGATTTTGTTTAATGTGGGTTTAATTATATCAGATTATCTTTATTTTACGTGTATGAGTGTTATGCCTGCATATATTTAAGTATACTCATGTCATGCAATGGCCACAGAGGGCAGAAGTGGCTGCTGGATCCCCTGGAACTGGAGTTATGGACAACTGTTAGTCACCATGTAGGTGCTGGAACTCGAACCCAGGTCTTCTGCAAGAATAGCCAATGTTCTTTAACACTGAGCCATGTCTCCACTTATATAGCAGATTCTTATTCTTTTAGGATTTATTATGTGTGTGTTATGTGTCCGCATGTATGCATCTGTGTTTATGTTTGTGTGTGTGTGCCTGTGAGTTGGTATGTGCATAGGAATGCAGGAATCACTGGAGGACAGAGAAGTGAGATCCTCCTAGAGCTGAAGCGACATGTGGTTGTCAGCCACCTGACAAAGGTGCTGGGAATGGAACGCAAGTCCCCTGCAAGAGCAGTACACACTCTTAACTCAGGAGCCATATTTCCAGCCCTCTTATTGTTAAAAATTGAACAATCAGCTGAGAAGACAAGATGGATTAATTCACACAAACTTTATATAATACACATAAAGACATAAAAATAAGTATGTGGGGAATCTAAAAGAGAAAAAGAAAATGGATAAACTGGCAAAATTGGAGTACAGTCATTCTATGGTTATCATAGAACTTTCGTTTATATAATTTATTTCTCAAAGACATCATAGGAATTGTTTAAGATTAAAGTGCAATTTACTGTTTTAAAAATCTTATATTTAAAAAAATAATGTTTACTTTTTCTGAAAGTAAACTAAAACTAGTACATATTCATTTTAGAAGACCTGAAAAAGACAGGAACTGCTCACTGAATCATTAGACTGCTCCATTTAAAGACCACCAAAATTTGTGCCTCATTTGATAAATGTCTATAAATACTATTTCTTCTTCTAACAAAATTATATTACAAATGTAACTTTCTTACTGTTCTCTTCACTTTAAATTATGAAAAATTTTGCTTATCATCAAGCATTTCTCAGAAAGTTCTTAATTACTGTATCATATCTCACAGCATAAATGTATGATAATTTACTTAAAAATTCCCTTGCTAGACCCCGTCTTGCTAGACTATTAATCCTCTTACACTCAGAAATAACACAATATAAATATTCTTATAATTTTTTATATTTTATATATTCCAAGGAACTATCTACTAGGAGGACGTATTTGCCATATAATAACATTTTTTAACCCAGACATATTTTAGCATCCTGTTTTCCATTGCGAACATTTGGTCTAAATGCTTATATAAGTTTTACTTTTATTGCAGAAGTTCGTTTTTAAAGCATTAATATTTTGCTAACATACTAGATATACGAATATTCTTGGTATAGTTCAGCAAATATACATTTTGAATATAAAAATGATCAGTCATAGAAGAACAAATATCCATATTCAGGTGGATTATTGGTTCTGTCATGTTACAGGAAACACAGAATTAATGACATGTAATCAGAATCCTATATTGTTTCTCCCAATTAAGATATATATGCTCCTATTTTTTTAGTGTTTTGCTTTTTGAGTGAACTTCTTCCTAACCAGGTAGAATATAAGCTTACTTGAGACTATATATCTGAGTCTACCATGGGACAAAAGTTTTTATAATTTCAAATCAACAGATTCTTAAGCAGTTCACAATTAAAATGTTTACAATGCAACAAAAATATTTTCTAATGTTATGTATAAAACATTTAAAGTCCTTTTCAAAATACAGTAAAATAGAAAAAGTACATACATACTTTGAAAACTAATGTTTTTTAAAAACACTGGAAGATTTTCCTTTTGAAAATTTTTATGACATATCTCTTTAGTTATTAGTATATTTCAGAGAATCTATCCAGCATTGTTTTTTCATCAATTTAGGTGGATATAAAATATTTAAAACATCTGACATGTGGTAAAACAATATTCTGGCATTAATGAAAAATATATAGTTAATAAGAATAATCAAATTCCTTCCATAAACTGCATGCATTATTCAAACTGTTCAATCATCAAAGAATTCTTAAATACGTAACAATATATAAATATCTGAGCTACAAGCTGAACTGTATTATTTGAAAGTTAAATTCAAACTGTTCAATCATCAAAGAAGTCTTAAATACGTAACAATATATAAATATCTGAGCTACAAGCTGAACTGTATTATTTGAAAGTTAAATACTAACCATTACTGTTCAATGAGTCTCTATCAAGAGATAGACTAGGCAGTTAAATTAAATCATTATTCTCATTAAGTCATGATAGTGCCAAATTTATTCAAGTAGTTCTGTAATACATATGGGAAGCTAATTATTATTATTCATATATTTCAAAACAAATGTATTTCTTACAATACTGTCCTAGCATGTGTGTGTGTGTGTGTGTGTGTGTGTGCACGTGCATGTGTGTTCGTGTGTGTGTGATTTTCATAAAAATCTGGGAAACTTCCAAATTGTCCTAAGTTGTATTTATATTATTCATTTTAATGTAGTATTAATTTTCCTTCAAATATGTTCTACTTTACATTTGCCCACTACAAAGAAACAAAAACCTTATGGATTTTTGTTATCGATACAAAAGTAACCATTTAGTATACAACTGGATTGTTTGTTTATGGTCATATTCATCATAGTTTCATAATTATGTTTAGATTTTCCACAGCAATATTTTGAAGATAATCGATATTAATGATCTCTCTGATTCTAAAATGCCTTAATTCTTTTATATATGTAACCAAGTTAAGTAGGTAACAAAACATAATTATAGCCTGAAATCAATAATTAAATATCATAAAATATAAAATGTTGAACAAGTAATCTCTAAAATACTTCTAAATACGAATGTCTAGCATTTTATATAATTTCATATTTCTTAACAGATGAAAATAGTGTGAGAAAGAGAGCCATAGTGGTTTACACAGATGGAGATCATAACCTGAGACTCTCCTGATCCTATCTCTAACCAATAAATACGGTTTAAATTTTTATTCTTTCAAAGATCTGTGTAAGAGTAAAGATAGTTTCCAAAATCTATTTAAGGCAGTCATGTACAACATTACACTGTGACAACCTTTAACTTTAATCTCAGGGAAAATATTATCTCTGTCATCAGGTACCTCATCAGATGTTAACCTGTTAACTGCACAGAGTTTTTTAAATCAAACGTAGGCTTCCATTAGCAATGAATATAGGACTATCTTTATAAAAGGAAAAGTATTTCCTCTCCATGAGCTAAAACAATAAGTGGTATTTGAACTGCTGGTTGAAAGGTAGAGGCACTGGTAATCATTATTTCCCCTTGTTTGTTCAGGCCCTGCCAACAAAACAAACAACCTTTTTGTGATTGGATTGACATGGTGTTAACAATGCATTTAATGCCCAAATCAGTATGAATACAGGTAAAGCTCTTACTAATACCAGTACCAGGATGTTAAAGCCATCTATTTTCTAAGCAGTCAAAAAGAAAAAAAAAAAAAACCTTCTCCTCCTTTGGCAAATAAGGCAGTGTGCTAGTATTAACCAAGACACATCAGGACACATCATACATAAGCTTCTAGCTGCATGCTAACACTCAACTACTATACCTGCTGTCTTTTCAGCAATTTGAGCCTCTGTTGCTTTCTCTTGGAGTTCCAGCTTAAGCTTTAATTTTCGTTTTTCTTTATCTTCTTCAGTCAATTTTTCTTGAAGCTAAAACATATTAGGAAAAAGTTATTTTTATCTGATAAATACCTTCCATCTTCCATACGTAAGTAATTCTAAAGTAAGATTTTGTTAATTTTTAACTCCTTCTGTAATACTACATTCAACTGCTTAAATATACTGACTTGAGTAAAAAAATAAAGGTTGTAATGTATTTTGTAAGTAAGGATTACCTGAAATGATATGGAAAACAAAAAATTATGTAAATATACACTATGTGTACACATATAGGCACATAAAATGAGAACACTATTACTATTAAAAATACCAACTGCAGAAACCATTTCATTCATTTCTTTGTCTTAAAGCAAAAGATTTAGAAGAGATCTATTAACCTTAAAATAATGGGCAGTACTTCTAATGTTTCTCTTAGTAATTCCAATATTTTGAAACAAAATTAATTAAAATAATATCTGATAAAAATTTGTCTTTGTGAATAGTGTTTTATCATATTCCACTTATTTTCTTATTTTTTAAATATCTTATTTCGGCTGGAGATGGCTCAGTGGTTAACAGCACTGGCTGCTCTTGCAGAGGACCTGGGTTCAATTCCCAGCACCCACACAATGGCTAACAACTGTTCATAACTCCGGTTCCAAGGGAATCTGATTCCCTCTTCTGACCTCCATGGGCACTGCACAGCATGGGTGCACCTACCTACATGCATGCTTCAGTCTCATTAGGTCAAACAATGAAAATACTAAAGTCAGGAACGTATATAGAATTTTTTTTAAACAACAAAGAAATTGAACGTTAATAACATTACTTAAAGATCAGCGAAAACTGCTCAGGAAGAAATCGGAGGATAGAAAACATGGAATGCTAACCTGGTCTAGTTATAAGGTGCAATAGTATAAGAAGACACCAGGCAAATAACAAAATCATGAGCTACTTTAATGTTCAATAATATATATATATATAACTGAGGTGAAAGACAGGCTTCAGATGATAATAAAAAAGAAGAAACGTCAACAAAGTAAATAGCATGAAACCAGCTCATAATATAATGAAGCAAAGTCTTACTACAGTGAAATTTGAATTTATCAACATAAATTACCAGAAGTTTATGTAAAAGGAAGTTATACTGCAGCCCAACAAGGATAGAAACAAAAAAAGTTTATTTTCATAGCCAGTCACTTAACTACACCATATCTTGATGGCAAGGTAATACAACATAAAGCTAGTGTTAAGGGATTAAAATACAAAATAAAACTATTATAACAGACAAAAAAGAAAACTGAAATGGTCAATAGCTATAAGAGTGCTCTACAACAATCAAATTTTCTGCATTATACCTTTTTATTGCTTGTTCTAAGAATATCCAATTCTTTTCGAAGAAAGGCTACTGTTGTCTGATTATTTAAGTCTGGGATAACTTGATGAGGAATCACAGATCCATAGTTCAAATCATCCTTTCCACAATCCACAATGCTGTAATAAAGAGAACTATTAAATAATACATACATATGATTTTATACTGGGTCTGATTTCTTTATTAATAATAAATATGTAACGCACCAAATTTTAAACTTTTTTAAATATTTTATTTTTATTTTATGTGTATAAGTGTTATGCCTGCATGTGTGTAAGTGCACCTGTGTCGTGCAATGCCTGAGGAGGTCAGAAGAAGGCATCAGGTCCCCTGGAACTGGAGTATGGATGGCTGTGGGTGCCATGTGGGTGCTGGGAAATGAACCTGGATCCTCTGTAAGAACAGTCAGTGCTCCTAACCACTCAGCCATCTCTCTAGCCCCAATATTAAACTTTTTACGCAGTTAAGAAAGTATGATGGCTACAAAACAATAAATATATCAATTTTACAACAGATACCAATTTATAAACGGGAAAAATGAAGTTTGCGGAAAGCATGTGATAACATGGAAGAGACTCATGGTTCAGTGTACTTGATAAAAGAATTAAGGTTTTAGAAACTATAACTATTGTTTCAATTTGTATTTCTAGCTGACTTCAACTAACATTTCAGACTCATGAAGATGGGAACAAATAACTACTTTTTTCAATTTGATTAAAACAATATCATATTTTCATTATTAAATTTAAGGTATTAAAATTAAAGATATTCTCAAATCATGTAAGAGTAAATAAAATATTTTTATATTTTTTAAACTATTTGACAATAGTATCAACATGTAAGCAGGTAGTACAAAAGAAGAGAAAAAATATATGGATTGTTTGTTTTCTGGTGGCATTGAATTACATGTGTAAGCACAGATAAGTGTAGCATTACTATGCAGACCTTTAGCATATGATTAATTACCAAACTACCTTAATCACATTGGTAATAGACACAGGTATCACAAATTCAAATTTCTTCAAGATGGTAAAGCTGTAGAATGTAAAATAATTAAGAAAGACAAAAAATAGGGTACAGAGTCACTCTTTTCAAAAGTAATCAAATTACCTTAAATGAAGAACAGAGCTATATAAAACTAAAAACATATCTTTGGGCTTAATTTATCCTAGAACTTCTAGGTTGGAGCTTTGATAATATCTCATCTATGTCAACTTCACAGTTGTCTTTACATTCATAATGAAGATCATAGAAAATAATATTGGATGAAGAATCCAATCGCATTGCCTTACTTTAGAGTCACCTTGTGCTGTTTCTCTAAGCCATCTAAAAACATTGTACTAACACCAAGGAAATACTAGAAAGCCCTTGCAGATTCCTGAGATTACAAGTCACTGACACATTAAAGCCGTGCCACACCAAATAAAGAAGAGAAGGGAAATGTATTAAGGGAGAAAGTTGTTCCAACTCATCTCAGATCTAGCGCAGACACTAACACTCACCTGCATCGTTGAGATGTCTCTTCATCTGGATAAGGACTGATGGCCTGAAGATTCCTTGATTTCTGCCCTGACAGTTCAGTGTCCTCATATGTGACTTCATTTCCTAATTCATGCATGTTTTGCTCAGAATTCATAGTCAGTTGCTCATCTAGTTGTGTACTCTTATTTTCCACTAGAGTTTCTTGTTCAGGACAAATGTTGACTGTCTCTACACTTAAACAAAACACACAGTATATAAAATGACATAGCCACATATTGAAAATCATTTACTCAAATGAACAGTCTTATGAAAACACCACCAGAGATTTAGACACATAGTCACTAGTCCTCTGACTGTAGTTGATTAAACATGTACAATGCTGTGCTTGTCACCCTTATTCCTCCTCCCTGGTCAGATTTTTGGAGCAATGATTTGCATCTGGCTACACACTGAAATGTATGTTTAGAAGCTGGCAGCACAGGACCTCCCTATGCTAACCCAAGCAAAAGCTTTTGCGAGTGGTTTCAATTTTTAACTGCCCAAATGATTCTGGTTGCTGCTGAGGACCACTCGCTTAAGAACACTATTTTCTCGATTTCTCTAAATAACAATCAGGATATGATTATAATGGATCAATACTGTACATAGAACTCTGATATCAGACTGCCTGGGTTAGAATTCCAGTTTTACTAAGTGTAGAATGCTATGCATGTTATTTAACACCTCTACGCCTCAGTTTCCTATCTCTAAAATGCAAATAAAGTGACACTTAACTGAGTACCTCACATATCTTTTTAGTTCAGTAAAAAGAGATTTAAGAATCATTTCATTTCATCAAATATGTATAATACAATCAACTTTGTATGTTACATAACAAAAATTATTTTAAGTTTCAACTAGTAAATAATACTTATTTCAAGAAATAAACTATATTTAACGGAATAGTAAAGTTTGGGAGGAAATCACAATAAATAATAAATAAATAATCCATCAGTAAATTCTAACACTAAGATAAAAAGGCACAAATACCGATTGTAAGTTGTACTTAATATTAATTACAGCAGAAATATTTTTTCAGGTTTAAAAAGCGGTGCTTTCTTGTGATGCCCTTCTCCAACTTGCCAAACTTAAATGCATTTTGGAGCACAAAATAAAAAAATTGGGGGTACTTAAAATGAAAGTAACTCTCATAAAATATTCATTCTATTTTTCTTGTTTGTATTAACTATACCAATAAAAACTTCAAGTTCAGCCATCATTCATATTGGTAAATGGAAACTAGATCATAAGTCATTTGTTTCTTAATTATTTTGATTTCCCTTTGTTTGAGGAAATGAATTAGGAGAGAAATGTCCTATCATAACTATATAAGAATGACATTTCAGGTAATGGCGGCACACACCTTTAATCCCAACACTCAGACAGCGGAGGCAGGTGGATCTCTGTGAGTTCAAGGCCAGCTTAGCCTACATAGTGAGTTTCAGGGCAGCCAGGAGAACACAATGAGACCCTGTCTCAAAAATACACACAAACAGCAACAACAAAAAGAATGCTGTGGGAGGTACAGATAGGAGAGGGGATTTAAATATAATTAAAATGTACTATATAAAATACATAAAAATGTCAACAGAAAATATGTATTGAAAAAAGAAAGAATGATTATTTCAACATTATATTCTGCTGGAACTAACAATTTTAGGAATAATTTCAGAAATCTTGTAGATTTCTAAAAATTACTTTTTGATTTTTGGTATTTCAAAACTCTTGCATGGCTGGCTTCAAGTTGTTAGCCACCATTCCCTTTTCTAGAATATGCTGGTAAGACCTTCAAAATATAATGAGAGAATTGTTTGGACACTAAGAAGACAGTCTACTGCTAATAGTCCATGCTTTCTAACACTAACATAAGTAATTCAAATGAAAAAGGTTACAGTTACCAAAAGCATCATATAAATAATAAAATTACCCTCAGAGACATTTCATTCAGCAATAACAACACTGTTGGATCTGAACTGTTCTATAATTTATAAGGTACCATGACTCTGTAAAAGAGCAGGATAAACCATGAGCACCACCAGCTGTAAAAGCCCCCAGATCCCTATTATGCCACCACACCAACTGCTTCAGACTCAAAGCTCCTGGCCCTCCCTTTGACACCAAATTTACCCCTATCTACAACTTGTTCCATTTTTTTATATCTGCATTTCTAGGTCTCATTCAGCATCTTTCTCCATTCACTGTTTTATTCCTAACCTGTTCTTTCCCCCATCTATGATATCTGTATTTGCTGTCTGCTTACTAGTCTTATAGCTCTTTCTTCAGGTTTAACTTGCCAAATGGTCTCTTGAACTCTCAGTAAGTCACCAGTATTCACCGTGACTATATTTGATTCCAAACTTCTGGGGTAGATATAAAAACTTCCTGACAAGAAGATACTTCTTTTGCTCTTGGATCTTAGTAATTATAATCTTTGAAGTATTACTAAAATAACACGCTCATTTCTGACACTTTAAAATTTTTAATTCTAAAATGCTTCAAAAGCTAACAAGTTTAGGGGCTGGAGAGATGGCTCAGTGGTTAAGAGGCATCCTCCTTGCAGAGGACCTGGGTTTGATTCCCAGCACACACATGGCGGCTATGAACTGAACTCCAGTTCTCTTCTGACCTCCGCAGCACTGCACAACACAGGTGCACTCACATACATGCAGGCAATACTCTCATACACATAAAAATAATAAATAAAAATATTTAAAAGTTAAAAAAAAAAAAGCATCTTGGCTTAAAAAAATAAAAAGTTAATGGGTTTAGAGGCCAAGCAGAACCTGCAGGAATTTTGAGGTCAACCTAGGTACAGCAACTTCTCGGCCAACCAGCTACAGAGTAAGACCCCTGTATCAACACTCCCCCCATCAAAAAAAAACCTCCAAAAGTTGATATTTGAAATGCATGCCATGTGTAAAGAACTTATACTGTGTGTTTCTGGATATTTTTTTTTAACTTTGTTCAGTCTTAAAACCTTTTAGATTCCTAATTCAAACTGTTCATCTGACATTTGGAGCCTGCTCTGTAAATCAGACCATCTATACTCTTTTATTGAGAATTTAATTTGACTTCAAAGTAAACAAGGTTGATTTATAAAATTTCCCTGCCTGCCTATGTTTTATGTTTTCAACCAACCATTTTGGCAAAATGATTTCATCAAATTACTGTTAAATATTGAGAAGACTTTCAAATGTTCTTCTTTACTATATTAACTATATTATCCTCTATCAGTATTCAAACATTTGCATGGAAAATTTGATCTTTACATTATTTTAGTTATTCAGCAGTTTACTTAACATTCATAGAAACCCTACCATATGATATCCCTAGTGATAGGAACTAGGGAAACAAATATGAGGAAAGAACAGAAACCTCTATTAAGGATGATGATAAGTGATGCAGTGATTTGAATACAATGTAACACAGACCAGGCAAGGGTTATACAACTCAAGATGTATAAGACACACCAGTTCTCAGCCAGAGGACTTGAACAAGTAAGAATATGCAGAGTAATGCATTGTCAAAAGGTTACTGCGAAGTGACAAAGAGCAGGAATAGGAGCCAGGTGTGGTGGCGCATGCCTGTAATCCCTGCACTTGCAAGACAGAATCAGGATTGCCACAAATTCAAGGCCAGCTTGGTCTGCATACCAAGCTCTAGACTAGCCAGTGCTACAAAGTGAGATCCTGTCTCAATAAACTCCTTTCTCTTTCTCTCTCTCTCTCTCTCTCTCTCTCTCTCTCTCTCTCTCTCTCTCTCTCAAAAAAAAGCCAGACACGGTGGCACACACCTTTAGTCCCAGCACTTAGGAGGCAAAGCCAGGTGGATCTCTGTGAGATTGAGGCCAGCCTGGACTACATAGCAAGTGCCAGGCCAGCTGAGGTTATAGGGAGACCCTGTCTCAAAATAAATAAATAAATAAAAATATTTCAAAAGATTTTAATTAATAAGATCCAGGAAGAAAGTGTCCTTTTTGGAAACTTTCCAATGGATGAAATGTTAGAAAAACGGGTATTTCTTGTACTAAAATGACAAGGAATGAAAAATGTCTAAAATGAGTAACAAGTAAAGACAAAGCCTAAGATGTAGTTCATCTGGAAATAAGCTGATCGAACACACTGGTGGTGAAGGCATTTGGAGAAGAAGTAATCAAGGGATAAAGATGCTGAAAACATCACTTTTTTGTAAAGTTTTAATGGAATTTTTGTGTATTTCATTGGCAACCTCCCATACTCACCCCACACAACTGGAATTCATGCATTCTGTCTTTTGTGTTAAGGCCTATCACATCAACTTGGTGTCCATAGATGTCCCTAAATGCAAGTTCATCCACTGAGGTCTAGTTGAAAATAAAACTTTTGAAGGCATTGAAGTCATCTAGAAAAATGGCCGGAAATGGAGAAGAGAAATAGGAGCCAAATGTAAAAGTCTTCAGTGACAGCAGAAACATGTTGAAGAAGGAGAAAGATGAGACAAAAACTGCTCTCAGGTACCAAGGGTGCTGGTGCATGCCTTTAATACCAGCACACAGGAGACAGGAGCAGGCTGATCTCTCAAGGTCAGCCTGATATATACAGTGAGCTCCAGGCCAACCAGGGCTACACAAGTGAGATCCTGTCTTTAAAATAAAAAACAAAAAAGGGGGCTGTCGAGGGATGGCTCAGCAGTTAAGAGCACTGGCTGCTCTTGCAGAGGACCTGGGTTTGATTCCCAGCACCCACCTGGTGGCTAACAACTGCCCATAACTCTAGTTCCGAGGGATCTGCAACCTCTTCTGACCTCTGCAGGCACTGCACAAAACGGGTGCACCTACCTAACATGCAGGCAATACAGTCATACACATAAAATAAAAAGAACCAATAAAATATTTCTTAAAAAAAACAAAACCAAAAAAATCTGATGATAAATAAAAGCATTTTTCTGTTATTTCATTTTGGAAATAGTTTATCTTATAAAATAGTTACAAAAACAAGAAAAAAATCCTATTAAGCCTTCACCAAGATTCCCCAAATATTGACATTTTGTCATACTCGCTTATTTTTTTCTGTATCTGTCTGTCCACCAGTCTACCTATCAATCTAACTACAAACACATTTTACTTCCTGAAACATGTGAACATTATGTTGCAAGTATGTACTCTGGCTTTTCAGTATAAAAGGTACTGATCTAGCATTTTGCCTTTTGCCAAATT